ATTACTTCTTCTGCAATGACAGCTTTCAGCATTTAATGTCCAATGTGAAATATTCAGCTCAAACAAAAGCTGGTAATACAGCACCCGCAAAATTTTTCCCAGATGGACCTCTGAAATCCCTCGCTGCTCTGGTTTTACTTCCAATATTTCTTTTAACAACAGGAGCGGAAGCCAAGGCAAACACACAGCTCCCTACCCTTTCCCGATCCCTAAAGCTGCCGTTACGTGCTTGCAGCTGTGCTGCAAACAGCCACACCGAAACGGGCAGGGATTCTGACAAGGCCACAGTTGTTGCTCTCCCTTCATGTGTGAGGATGTCACACATCCACGTCTAAGCAGCAAAAGGTACAGGTTTGTGCAACGATCGATGCCTCTTCCACCCATCCCTACAAGCAAGCAAGAACAGACTTACAAACTTGCTCTGTCCTCCCGTTCAGGAGCTGAAATGAGCTAAGGGAGCAAGCAGTTTCGTCGGACATAATATCTGTGTTCAGAGATCTTTTACAATTAAAGCAGAGAATGACTCTGATGTCTGTATCAGAAGTAAGGATCAGGTAAGACAGGAGTACATAGGCACTAAGAACAGTTGGTATAACATCAGTCAGCCTGCAATATACAGGTCTACTCTAAAGGTACTAAATACACCGAGCGCCCAACACAACTCTCGCACGTTTCTGTATTCCTGAGCGGTGCCTACAAGGAACGCACAGCCAGAGATCAGTCCCGCTGCACAAGGGCTGGCTTGTCCGCGTAGCCCTGATCAAACCCCAGCTCTGTTTCGACCAGCTCTGAGGAGATGGCTCTCTTGGGACCAGTTGACTTCCAAGAGCAAGCGAGTACAATAACAGCTTTGTACCAAATCGAACGTCAAGAAGACCCAAGAGATCCATGAAAGGACTCTCCTTCATATTTGGGCAGATCCCAAGGCTAGTCCAGACAGTCCCAGACACTGACTGCTTTCTCTGTCATTCTTGAGAAACCACTTACTATCGTGCTGCCAAAGCCTTCAAACCACCCAGCCACAAAAGGCTCCGGAGCCGCAGCCGGTCACGCTCTGCTCAGCGCTGCCTTCGCCAGCACTCAGAAATCCCTTCTTGTTCACAAAGTTATTTTCTTTCTTTGTTGCTTTAAAATGTCAGTCATTGCTGCAATAACTATGAGGCACTGAGAGAGGGGGGAAAAAGGTTTTACTTGCAACAATGACTGCATGCAAAGTATCTTCTGTCTTGCCTGAAAAGCGTGACACTTTAAAGCCAATAAAACAGGGAACGATTTGGGCAACAGAAGCAAATAATACAGCACAGAGAACAACGAATAAGCACTGAAAACCAGCTCAACTCCATCTTAAGTAATCCATAAGCATTCAGTGGCAACTGATAAAATAGAAAATTATGGTCAACGTGAAATAACGCACACAGGAAAAAAAATGCAGCCCTAACAATACCTACAGAACCACAGGCTTCACACAGCCTCTATCACACAGAAGAGACATTAAAATCACAGGGAATTTTCTATTAAAACGTCCATTTACTATGTTGCGGAAAAGAGAAAGACAGTGTTGACTACTGCGTATGGAAGTAAAAATGAAAAGGATCGTCACATTAGCATTACACACATCCATGCTGCTCCCACAACTGGTGCTCCGCAGTGAATTCCCGTACTTTTGTCTGCAAAAAGATATGGTAGAAAGAGAATAATATGGGAAAGACAACATGGGTGATGAGAGAGAATGAAATGATTCTCTATTAAAAGAGGTAATCAAAGATTAGGATTCTTCAGCAAGGAAAACAGATACTAAAGAGAGAAATACGACAGAATAACACCGTACCTTACAAAGGAAGCGTGAATAATCGTTCTCTGTTCACTCCTCCACAAACCAAGAGCATCAAATCAAACCCCAAAAAGCTTTAAAACCTCCCCTGGCAATTTCAGGGTAAACAGTTGGGTTTTTTTTTTTCCCCTCTACACAGAGCATGTTAAATTATGGGATCTGTACCAGAGGATGGTACGGAAGCAGAAGGAAGCAGGTGGTTAAAACGAGGTGACCCACACTCACGGGGGACAGCTCCGTCATGGGCTATGAACCCCCCGCTGCGCCTCTCCCTGCTGGAGGCGAGGACGGCACGCTGAAGGAAAGTGATCCTTGTATGCTTTCAAGTTTGTTTGGTTTTTTAGTATTTTCCTAAGCAGTGCTACTACGGACAGCATGTGAACTAAACATAACATAACTTTACAATGTGTCCTTTACTCCAGTAAAGGAAAAACAACCTATAACGTCTTTTGGAACTATGCTTTATCCTGCATTTTTCAGATACATGTATCTTTTCATGTATTAAGCATCATTTCATTAGCAGTAATGTTTTTCTCAGGGTAATATTAATTAGCATAAAAAAAGACTGCAATTAAAACAGCTTGCAACCATCCCATGACCCACACAGAGCTGGAGAGGGAATAATTTCCTGTTCCATGGCAGAAAATAATTACTTCTGCGGCTGATAAAGGTAGTTACGTATTCATTTCCAATGAACCCCATGCCTCCCACATGCTGCTCTGCTATTTCCTTTCTCCAGCTGCCCTTTCTGCAGCTGCTCTCTAGAATTAAAAGCAAGATGTAGATGTGCAGAAGCCTTTCCCCTGTTTGGAAAAGTGAGAGGTCTAAAGGACAAGAACCATGCGCTCTTTCACCAAAACCGCCGTGGGAAGAGGTCAGTGCAGGCTGTGGCGGAGGCACTGGGAACGTCTCGGCTCAAAAGGCTTGAGATTTTTCCACTGGAGACACATGACTAAACATCACCTTACAGCCATTGCTTTGCACACTAGAAACTCCGCATTACAAAGCTATCAGTATTACACCCTCAAGTAGAACCTTGCTTTGTGAAATATCAAACGATCAAGTACCAAAGTGGCTTACAAACTTTAAGACTCAACCTGGCGACTGAAAACCAATTCCTTCAAGATGTCAAACCAGCCAAACACCATACTCTGCTACAGATCAGTCACACTGTCTGTCCCAGGATTCCTCCTTCATATCAAAGCTTGAACTGAGAACAGCAATCCATTACTAAGAGCTAAAATACAGTCTTTTCAAGACGATAAAGGCATTTATTTAAATGCCAGTAGTCCAAACTCATCCTCCAAATAAACTTACTCATCTCAGAAGAGCGCAGATCTTGTTTGGTAAAGATATTCGGCATCCCGTTTTCCCAATAATTTCCACTAAAAAAATAATTTCTCTTTTATTCTATTTTACATCTTGTCAGTCCATCACAGTAACTGCCGATAAACACTGTTCGTCAAGGAATTCACCAGAACACCAGAAAAGCATATTCCCTTACCTCTACAAGTATCTGTACCACTCTACAAACTCTCTGTGTATTTTCAAAAAAGGAGGGCAATCCTTTCAATCCTGTGCATGAGTTGCAACCAAAGCCTGTTCATGCAGGCTGCTGAAGAGAGCAAAGTACCTTCCCTCTTGCCTACCTCCTTACTGAAATCCTAACCAGCTGCAGCACTTAAGCACAGAACACCTTGCTTGGCTAAACTGCAGATCATTGCATCTTTTATCATGGGGGGAAAAAAAAAACAACTCTAAAAAGAAGGAAAAAAGCAGCATATGCTGCTGTCTCAATTCCTTCCCAAAGCCAGAGTGCTTTGCAGAGCGACAAGCAGCATCCATGAGCAGAAGACAGCAGTGCCAGGCCAGAAGACACTCACCAAAAGACTATAAAAGGCTGTCTGACAAGAATGATGTTTCTCCTTACTCCAGAATTAAGATGAATGTGAGAGCATTGGCACAGCACTAAGCCCACGCTCACAGGCCTAGCTGACTGAGGCAAATTCATCACCTCTTGACATAAAGCAAGCATCTCTGTGCAACAGAGCATTATCGAAATGTCAATAACAGAGTAAAAACCAACAATTAACCCAAGAATGATGGGGGGACACAGAGGAAAAACTCATTCATATTTAATATGTAACTCTTAAGACTCTGCCCCCACAGCTGTGCAGCTGGCTGCGAGCTTGGCTCTGACGGATATACGCATTATTTGACAGGGGGCTGAAAGGGGCCAAGGGAAACAGAGGACCCGTGAAAGAAAATGAAGAGAGCCTCACCATACTGAGCTCTCAAACTCAGGAACTAGCTTTCTGCAAGTTATCTGCATGAAACGTTTCCTTTGGCAGCCCATCTACACCCAGCACAGAACAGGGCGCTCCGACAGGCATTTTCCCAGGGTCTGCACAACCAAAAGCGATGCCGACGGAGTTCAGCTCCTTTCTGTGCCAAGACGCCTGCAGCATCCCACCCGGGCACACACATGGGCCCAAAAGCCAGCTGCTGAGCAAACGACTGTCCTCCGCTTTAGAAAGGGAAACTGCACGATTCCCAGGAAAGCTTCTAAACAAATTTTCCTTTGCTTCACCTTGTCAAGACGTATGCACTTAAGCTACAAGTAGCCCAAAGAATATGCTGTTTAGTCTGCTAAATTTAGCCTGGTGAGCGCCAAATGGAGCTCACTCTGCTTACTCATCTCAAACTCGGTTTGTCATTAGCTTGTTTCTCCAAGCCTCATCTGCAAGTTCATCCTTCATTACCGCCACCAAAGTTCATCGACTCGTTAGGTGCAGACTCACAAAAGCCTTGACACAATCTGTTCTTATGTCCAAAGAAGTTCAGTATTCTGTTTGGGAGCTTTTGCTCAAGAACTCTTCTGGCCATCTCATCTCAGAGAGAGATTCATAATTAAATTGGCGTAAGCAAAGCAAAGCTTATTACTATAATCACAACCAAACCTACCGTCTGTCAAGCCATTACTTATGCCAGTTCACCAAAGCTGTTAAAAATGGCTTTTAACGGAAAATAACGTCAATGGAGTATATGCCAAGTAAGAGCAAATAAGCTCTTTTTTTCCCCCCCCATTTTTTAAATGCAGCTCAGCTCACAACAATCTCCAAGTCCTTTTCCTATGCTTCTTAAAAGCAAGAAGTAAAAAGTTACATACCACTGATGGCACTCGCCACTTTGGTCCCATTTCTGTAAGGCAATTTCCATCTCTTCTTTCCCTGCAAACAAGTGGTCAGAGGTAAGAAATCTCTGAGGCTGTTAGAGTACAATAACAGAATGGCATAGAAGTCCTATCTGTTAATTTTATAATACGTTTGGCTTGAAAACATCCCGTAAATAACTTCATACGCTTGCAGTGATATGGAACATCCAAGACCACTCAAAGAGATCACGCAAATTTGTAGTACGGCAGCAAACTGTGCTGACCTGTCAACGTGGTTTCAGCTCACGTGGCAGTACGGTTCTCTCTAACGAGACCTCCTCCCACACCAGGCTAAGAAGAGTTAATTAGAGCTTCCAGTGGTTTTGGTCTGATGCATTTCACAGCCTCAGATCTAGGACCCACCCCACTTCCCCCTCTCCCCTCCAAGAACCTGCAGTCTCAAAAAGCTGAAAACCAAGTGCCTGTGGAAGGCTAAAAGGACTATCGAAACAAAACTTAAAATTTCATGTTTTAAATGGCTACCATGATTTCCAGAAAAGAACAATTATATTACAAAGTGATAGTATTAATTAACTATATATAGTTACGTCCATAACAAACAGAACAGAAATTATTTAGAATAGTATCTTTTGTTGCACATCTTAACTGTAACAAAGATGATTTTTTTGTTTTATTCTGACCCGCCTACAATCTTGCAAACAAACCACATTCAAGACAGTGAAGAAGAATGAGGGAATGGAACTGATTCCTCTAAGTAAACACACATGTAAAAATATATTTCTTTTTTATATCTGCACATGTTAGCAACACAAAAAAACAAATGTCTTACAGCAAAAACTTATTTATCTTAATACCACACTGGATATGGATGATAGGTTTGAGAAACAAATTTTTTTTATCTTTAACTAGCCCTTGGTCTACTTACACTATCTTTCAGACTGCAAACCTTTTAAACACATACCACCCCAGTACTGCTAGCTACTCACCTAAAAAAAAAAGATTACAAGGAAAAAAAAAAAAATCCACCACATTGTTTGCAAGCGTAGGATTTAAAAATCTGAAGTGTAATGTCAGCTTTGAACATCGCCCTTCCTTTGCCTCAAACACACAGTTCCTCACCATCAGTGGCGTACGACCTCTTCTCATCCATGTCTTCTGTGATTTCGTACATATCACTATGTGCTCGGGCCAGGCGCCAAAGAAAGTCTTTCTGGTCTGCATACTGCAGGAAAAACACAAATGTGATACGTCAAGACCCATTCTCCCACGGACAAAGACCATGAGAAAGAAAAATCAAGTGGGGGCATACGCTAGAAGTGACACAGACATTTTTTTGAAACCTTAAAAGGTCCCAACTCTACAAGGACTGAAGCAGAACCACAAAAGAGCAAACTGGATGGCCAAATTTATAATTAAGCTTACAACGCTACACTACTGGTACAGGTCTAATTGTTGTCGCCTTCTAACAAGGAACCCCTCCACTTCAAAGGCCGTGCTGGGGTCAGTTCTTCAGCAGCCTCCGCCAACCTCAAAACACTGGGTGAAAAAAATCCCTCTAAACCTCACCACTTCATTGACATTCACAAACTGAATTTTACTTTTTTCATGCTTCAGTCTGCATTCAAACAGTTTCACATCCTGCCTCGTTCTTAAACCCGGGACAGTACTGTAGGTGTACTGCTAAATTTGAAGCAGCTATGTTCTGACAAACTCAAACTTACTTAAAAAAAAAAAAAAAAAAGAAAATTAAAACACAACCACGTACCAGCCTGGTTTCTTTTGCAATAGTATTGTAAATAAAAGAAAGTGGGAGAATCACCAGAAAGAAGCATGCAAGAGAATTTCAGAAGCCAACAGGCCCATCATTTCTTCCTGGTGGGAAGGAAAAAACCCAACCTACTTGAAATTAGAACTGATCAAGTTATCTGTTATTTCTTTCCTACTTTTTCTCCTGGAAGTACAGGAACCAAAAAGGTTTTACTTTTTAAAGGGCTGGTAACCCAAAACGTTTTCTTTGCTGGCTCTGCAGTACTTAGGTAAACACTAAGAGAGGCTGACAGCGCAACTGCGGCAAGCACAGTTGTGCCAGCACCGGCGGCCGGCGGGCCCAACAGCCACAAAGGTCAGCCAACCCAGCAAAAGCGAGCCACACCTCACCGCTGGCTGCCTCCGCGGCCTGTGGCCAGAGGCAGAAGCCAGCTATCGGCCACAGCCAGAGTAAAACCGTCACTGCCCCTTGCTACGTTCCCACGCCTCAACGGCGGCGCCAACGGTCACTGAACCAAGGGCTCAGTTCACATCACCTATACGATAGAAACAGACACATTCTTTCAGGTGGCAAAACACCTGCACCGTCCAGGTTTTTCATCTCATTAACTAACACACACATAAGTGTTGCCTAACCCTTCTGTTTGAATATGCAACTTATTTATTTCATGAACCATCACACACACGCACTGGGCAGTCCTCGGAAAGACCACGCTTCCCAAATATAGACTGAGCCGTTGCGTATGCAAGGAGGGAAGTGTTCTCAAGATGTCTGCCGAGTTTACTGTGTACACACAGCACTGTTATTTTACACATGCACAGTGCGTTCGCTCAGGGAAGGTGATGACATGATGAGACGCACAGTTCCAAGGCAGAAAGCAACTGGGAACTGGCTGCTGCCGTAGCCCGAACAATTTTGGCCTTCAGCCCGCTCCCAAGCTGCTCCTGAGGAAGGGGGCCACTGGAAGCTGGCCCAGTTGTGGTGCAGGACCTGGACCCTGCTAAGATATGCAATTTCCTCTTTCCCAGCTATTTAGCTGAAAACACAAATCACTGCTGGAAAATATAAAAAGGCAACCTTTACCGCCAGTTTATTATTCAGCAGCAGCTGGAATCCCTCTCTCTTCTCCTGCTCGCCTCCGTTGTGCAAGCGGTCAGCCTGCTGCAGTAGCTGACCCAGTCCTTCCTCTAGCGAGGAATCCAAGATTAAATGCGTTTCATCCTCGTTGACAAGATCCAGGGAATCCCGGCGCGCAGTTCTCACTGTTTCACAGCTCACTTCGTCCTCCCCTTCTTCGCTCTCCCTCTCGGACTCCCGGTCGTAATCAGACTCGGCATTGGCCGTGGTGTACCTTTGAGGAAAAAAAACACAGCGCGGAATTAGTTTGAGGAGATGCTGTGCAGCCTAGGACAGTTTTGTACATACGTACAGAAAAACCAACTCTTCCTAACAGAGGAAGAGGAACATCTTACTTTATCCTGGAGAACACCGCACAATCCAAGCGTCTCCAATAACACACCAATCATTATTTCTCAGGTAATATACACAACCTCAAAAAGCTGAAGAAAGAACGCCCCCCAAAAGTGTAGTAGAACTCAGTCACAAGCGTCCACATCTCACTTGCACAGCGTAACAGCTTCTCTTAGGACTTCTAACCTCAACGTAAGAGAATTAAACAACTAAGAACAGAGCCAGGACAATCCAGTTAAAATGTATAGATTATAAAAGCGAATTTCAACAAAAAAATCAACACACTCATCCATGTGGAAAATATAACCTGAGGTTTTCAGCCTGTTCCAGGAAATTTCAGACACAATAGCTGTCTTGGCAATATCTAGTACCTCCATCATCTTGTCCGAGCGCTAAATATGAAACTGCTTGTTCACACTGACATGTGAAAAGGTGCAAAACAGTAGGACAGCGATCAGAACGATTTCAGATGAGCAAGTCCTCCAGCAAGGAGACAGCAGACGAGCCACAAAGATACCACGTGTACAAAAACCCGGGCAATGATTAGCTCCTAAAGCAGTCAAATGAACCAGCACAAAGCTCGGATCAAGTCTTCTGAAAATGGCTAAAATTGAACTCCCCCAAATTGTATACAGGCACCTAAGCTGGAAGTGTAAAACAGCATTATATACTGACCGATACTATTGCAGTGAGGTGTCTACTTACAGAACTAATTTCGTTTTAAAGAAGGCTCTCTATTTGTCCCCCCTCACATTTATCTGCAAGCTCTTAACTGAAGAATAAGCACCAGTCAGCCAGCAATTTAAGAATGTGCACATTTATATTTGGATTTTGTTGGTTTATCTGAATAGAAAGCTCTCTTCTTGAAGCAAGCTACTTCAAATCATATAAACACTTAATTCTAGGGGATGCTTGTAACTGTTACCCAATTAAACTGTGCCCAAGCCATGTGTTGAACTTTACAAGTCCTGCTGGAATTAAAAGTCATTGCAGTCCGGGGGCATTCGGTAACTACAGCTGTACTCCCTGTTGTCCCGCCTGCATTGCCCCGCCGAGGGAGAGCCTAGCGCTCTGTCTGTGAAGCTGCCTTTCTCTGGAGGCAAAGATAGCCGACCGAGTCCGTATCTGAAGAAAGCAGTCACAGTAATTCGGCCACACACAGATAACAAGACACGTTTGGCTATCGAAGCGTCCGTTTTCTGAGAACCATCAATAATGCTCCAGCATTTCCCTCTCTGGTAGAGGTAACAAATGCCCTCACTCACCACAGCCTCCGACTCTCACCCATAAATTTAAAAATGCACCACTTTGTACGGAAACATTTTAAGACAAGAAATAAAGTAACAGTCAGCCTTATCACTGCAAAGGCAGGACAGCAAGCACTACAAGAAGACACGCTGCAGATCATGTAGGCAGCACTAAATTAACGGATAATGTCGCAACACGGTGGCAGGTGACACTGGCACGGCTCTGTTTCAGATTGAGTTAAAAGCTTCGTTTCTTGATATTTTCTTAAGATTAATGACATTATTAGTTCTCTAGAATAACTCACTTCTGACACTTAAACACAAACTCCTCAAATTCTCTCATTTCCCACCCTAAGCTACTTTGCAGCACGGTTGTGGGCTAGGCAGCTGTGATACTGTCTCACGGCAACGTTTTACTGGCAGCTGCAAATATTTCAGTACTTCAGCTGAAAAACACTTTCCACGTTGAAGGCTCCTGAAACACAATATGGTCTTTAAAACCAGGCAGCAATGGATGGCTCCTGTACGCTTTTTTTCTCCACCACAAAAATGTGTTTTCTCCAAGACAGCTCATACAAGATGCTGCCAGTTTAAAAAGACAAGTAATACTGTATATAACTTCATAAACTCAGAGCTTTCAGAAAGATTAAGGGATTTAGATGTTATCAGCCTGTTTTCTTGAGTTTACGATGATGGAAAGTTCTTAAATGCTTTACTATGTTGAGGCCTCTGGCTAGCACACATCCTGAACGAAAATGAAAACATACTATCTGGAACAAAAAAGCTCACGGAAAGAGGAGGCAAAGCAGCCCAAAAGACCAACGCGGTGCCAAAGCAATATAGAGAAATTAAGCAGCCCAGGACCCCTGGGCTCCTGAAAGCTCGTGATTATTTTTGTGAACTGTATATGAAATCAGAGAAGATGCTTATGTCCATGTGGTTTACAAAACAAAGCTGAAATGCGAGTTCTTCTTTCTGAATTTCATTAAAAGAATACAATTGCCAGAAACGAATACGCAGCTGAAATGTATCTGTTGAGAATAGTCTCATTCTTCCTCCCAGTGGCTGCTAAAAACCTTACTCTTTTCCAAAATGTACATTTCCCACCCTGACTTTCTACTAGCGAATTTTAGTATTTACATCTCTAAAAGACAATATTGCATACTAAAGGCAGCTGCTTCTGAACAGACTAATATTATACCTACTGGGATAGGACGAATGCCAGAGTGAGAAATTATATACGATTTGAATTTTTTTAAAATCATATGAGAGCTGTTTATGCACTAATTGTCCATACTGGTCATCGAAGCTAATTACAGATTTTAAATAAAATGTAAGAACTCCTCCAACCATCACTAGGCTCCCAGTAAAGTAATGAGGTTTTGCAGTGAAATATATCCCTGCTCCACGCTTCACTTGAGCTCCCCTAAGGAGGATGCCTTCTCCGAACCTTAGAATTGCTGTCGGCCTCTGTCACGCCTTAAAATTTCCTAATCATCAGATGGCTGTTGAAAAAGACCACCCTTTCCAGCACGCTTTACAAAATACGTTGGCACCCCAATGACTCAATGCATCTGTTGTTATCTAGATAGCAAGGTCTTGTCTTCAGAACCAACTATATAGTTTTAAAATTTGTTATGCAGCCTTGTTACCTATTACACCGCCGTGAATCACTTACTCCCTAATTCTGCTTTTAGATGAACACCCACTTCAGCTAAATGAAGCAGTTCTATAACCTGAATGAGATCACATCAGCTCTTTCCTGCTTCACCAATTCCAGCTTCTAAAGATAAAATACTAAAAGGACACGTTTACGGCAGTCACAAAGCCTGCTTTCCTGCAGATCCGCGTCCTTTGTTCGAGGAGGCTGCTACAGAAATGGCTGCTTTGTCCCCTGATTACAAACCCGTGCTACCAAGTGTCAGTTTGCACCAGCCGCCCGATCATTTAGCTGCTACCGCACAGCACGCCACATCCAAATCCCGCCTGCCTTGCTCTCGGCGCTATAATTAACTTACAATCATAGAAGCACTTAGGTTGGAAAAGACCCTTAAGATCATCGAGTCCAAACTTCCCTCTTTAAATTACATTTCATTTCAGCTTCCTTTGGAAAACGTATATGGCCAGCGCTGCATCATTTAGAACACTTACACACCTCAGCTGCTATAGAATTCGTCTGACTAAGGCACAGAAGATAACCATTTCGTCAGAAAGGCGGCAGTCGCATACATGTACACAGCAGACCTCCTGTTATCTATCTAATATGACAATACTTGCATCTATATTGTCATTTTTACCGATGTTCTTAAACTACACAGTACTTTTCACCTGTTTTTAAACTGTAAGAACTTAAGCAACACAACTGATCGTGTGACACACTGAGAAAAATCTGTAAGAAATACCCTAACTGAAGGCATTTTAATTAATTGGCATATATTTTTAACTTTCTCAAGTTTCCCAGACATTCTAAAAATATAGTATTGTATGAAAATTTTCTCTATAAACTCTCTCAACTCAAGTCCCGGGCTGGACTTCTACTTCCCTTCTTCCTGCCAGGTCCCCTAATCCAATTATTGCTTAAAAAAAACCCTCAAAAACTATACATATTTTTGTTTTCTTTCCCCACTTTGTCTAAAAGTCAGAATGGTTGCACTTCTCTCAATCTGGCCTGGGCAGTAGTAGACTTACAGTAATAAATGCAAATAAAAACAGGATGACAGACACCTAGTGGGGGGGGGAAAAAAAAAAAATCCTTTCCTTTCTGTTACCCACTGCTCAGATGTAACTGGGCACCAAAGCCCGTAAAAGCTGCTCCTGGCCTGGTGCTCTGCTTACCCTCCTTCACTTTCTCCATCGTCCGTATTGGCTGCTCCTGAGCTGGCTGTGAAATAAATTGAACTGGAGCCTGTGGAATCACTTCTTTCTCTAGGAAACGGAAACCGCCTCCGGCGAGTTACTTTCTGGGTTTCTTCCAGATGGGACCTTTGAGGAAGGCAAAAAGAGAAACAAATAAACATTTGATAGTGAAATGTCTGCTATTTCACTTCCCTTCTCCTCTCCAGCAGATTCCATCCAACTCGCTCTATATCAAAGAATTCGCAAGGTGACTTGCCCTGGCTTACACAAACATCCCGCGACCATACAGCAAACGTCATATTCCACAGTTAAAGCGAGCCTGACCACAGACTTGGTCCACATACAACCCATACGTGCAATCCATAAACAAAAGGATAAACACATCACATGCATTCCTCCGATTTCCTCAGCGAGCAAAGACAAAGGAATCCTCAAACACCCTGCAGAATATAGGACCTTTTATTCTATATCAAAAGCTACCTACAGCTGGCAGCAATCAGGGAGGGAAAAGCAGCAACAAGAGACAAACGTTTACACAACACACAACCTTCCCAGGCTAGAACATGAACCAAGTGTCACTACTTTATACTCCGTAAGAAAAAAACCAACCCTGGCTAAACATAGGATTTTTTTTTTTTTTTTACATTAATCTCACTGGAGGTCAAGACATAACGCCAGTGGAAACTAGAGAGACACTTCTTCCACTTTTGGATTTTAAATTTAACGTACTCAGTCATGGCTATGGAGTAAATATGTGCAACAGTAGAAGGGGGCAGTGTCGGTACCTGACTTCACCGACGATTTCGGCAGCTAAGTGCTGCAGGCTGTTCCGTAGCTCCTCCACTTCTTTTCTTAGCTCCGAAATGTTTCTTAACACGGAGTCAAGGCGCTCCAGCACATCCACCTGCTCGCCCTGTGTCAGGAGAGGTGCGTACGTGGCACCATCTCCCGCCTCTACAGGAACCGGCACTGTGGGCACCACTGCAAGGAAACAAGAGGAGAGAAAGTTCATCAGATGCAAATGGGAGAGGATTCCACGGGGGCAATCTTAGCACAATTTTGGCTTCAGAAGATGGCAGACGTGAGGCTTGCTCTCAAGTATTGCTGCCTGACCTGGCCTGGGGTTTTGCGTTCTTCAACTGGTTCGCCGCTCCCTTCTCTGACACCAGCATCTAGCCACGCTTAACGGATTTGCTATAGCTATAGGGGCACATAAAGCTCCTTTAACTACACGTCTATAAAAATCCCCTTGTAAAAATTGTTTTAAAAAGAGCAAAATCCATACTGAATATCACAAACGCTACTGTAGATAAGGAAACTGCCACTTTTTAAAAAGTCCTTACTGCAAATTAATTTAATTCCTCTTCTACACACTTCTGTGTTAACATCACAGTGAAAAACTACGCTCCTGAATTGTGGTCATCCCGGGAGACCTCAGCCAGGAAAGCAACCAGCTTGTAAGGTAACACGTGACAACAAACAAGGACAATGGAAGCCAATTTTGGCCAAAAAAAGACTTATTCTTTAAAACAAACAAACAAAACAAAAAACCAACCAAAACCACAAACCACAAACACAAACCCCCTTCTATTCTTATTCAAGGGAAAGAAAAACCCCACAGAAACCCGAAGAGGAGACATCCTACTTTAAATAGCAGTTCAGTCATCAAAACGGGTCCTTGTCTTGTACTGACTACCTGGAACCTCTGCCAGTCTGCCTGATCCATACATCTTCTTGCAGATATAACACGAACAAGCAGCATGTAAGAACAGATTTACATCTGTGGACTGTATATACATTTTCTTGAAAGCTCATACATATAAATAAATATGCTACCAGTTAAGTCGATTATTTAAGGAAGAATACTCTTTTGATATTAACAAAAAAGAGAATCGCTCTCAAAAGAGCAGCCAGATTTGCAGAAACGAAGGGCTGATCTTCCAGAGTACCCTGTGTTAACGCATCTCAACTCAGAGATCAAAATCGAGATTCTCTTCAGTAAAGAAGCACTGCAACCTCGTCCCGACTCTCCCTTCGCTTCCCAGCGACCGCGCCGCTTGCGCTGTGCTCTCGCGAAGGGGCTGCGCAGGATCTCAGCAGGTTGTGCTCCAGCGTCTGTCGCTGCTCCCGCAGCGTCTGTCACTGCTCCCGGGCAGGCCCCCCGCGTCTCCCTGCTTCTGCTCAGGCCCTGCTCTTTCGGGGTGAGTCCCGTGGAACCGGACGAGCCCCTTCCTTCTGAGGGATACGGTCAGCAAGCAGGGGTAGGCCTTTATCGCCGCAATAGTTACCAGCCCATGGAAGCCGCCTATCAAAGCCGTACGGGTGTGCGGGCTCTCCTGTTCCTGCTACCCTGCTCGTACGGTCTGCGTGCCGCCTAGCAGGACAACGTGACGGTGAGAGTACCCAAAGTCTGCTTCTGCGACATCAGATTAAAACACTGTTTACAAACCGCTCCCGCCCCAACACAGCAGCAAGGACAAGCCTTCAGGTACCCCAATAAAGACGCTCAAGTAGAAGTTCCTCCCTATAACCCGTTTTCTATTTTACACCTCGCCTGCCGAGCTATCCGTACCACGGCAGGGGAACAGCCGGTCTCATTTTCAAGCCCCAGCAATCGCCAGAACAAACACGGTTTCGCTCGCGGTCCCCGCGGCTTTCCGCGGGCCTGGACAAAGAGACGCCAGCTCGGGTTTCTGAGCCGGCGTTTTTAAAACTGCAACGTTTCAACGCCAGCGGAGCTCGGCAGCGAGCGGGTAAACGCAGAGGTTCAGAGCGGCCCGCACGCGGGGCC